CCTCATACACTCACACACCTACACATTCAACTGAGAGAAAGAAAGAAGAGGAAGAGAGTGAATTTTGGTAGTAGAGGAGATGAAAAGAGGAAACAATTGTGCAAACACTTCACTACGCAATCAAGTAAACCATAACACAACTCTCTCTTTTATTTTCCTTTTTCAAATACATGTTATTAGAAGTTTAAAATGGTATTTTCGGATGTGTTCTAATGGAATTCTTGTGTTAAAAATGAAAGGAGTTGAGCCTTGATTCTACCCTTCTTGTATTTTCCTTAATCGGTATAAGACTACAGTTTTCTATATCAAACTCTCAAAATTTTCAAAGGCACACCTTCACCTTAAATTTCTGAGTTTAATACATATTATTTAGCAAGTTTTCATCACAAGATAAGTGGAAAAATTTCCCCTAGTTGACCTTTTTTCTCACCAACTTTCTTGTTGCAAGAACTGTGCCAGAAAAATCTGTTTTACAGCCAACTTTCAAAAATTTTAGAAAAATGTATAAAAATCTTCTAGATCTCAATTTTATGTCCAATTATTCCTTAAGGAGTTAGCTTTCAAGGCAAATTGGTTTCATTGAAAAAGAGTGAGCGGTTTGTAAGAAATCCAATTTTCGTAACGATCGACGAATCTGGACAACGCTAGAGCATTTCTTAAATAACTAAAATTCTAGAAAAGCTATTCCATTTCCGAAACATGTTATCAAAACTAGATTAAATTCTATACAAATCATAGGAAGGCCGAGTTCGGAAAAAATCTGAAATAGCCATTTTGATTTTAATCTTTAAATACTACTGAATCTAGAAATTTAATTTTGCATGAGTGTTTTATGCTCTTGTGTTCATGAATATGCTTATTAGTTGATGATCATGTCTTGGTATGATATTGCATGTGTTATGGTTACGTTTCTTATATTCTTCATTTTAATGATGCTCATGCTTATGTAGATATTACTATTTTGTTGAGTTTGTTCTAACTTGACTTAAAACATTAATCAAAACGGAAAACTTAATTGGGATGATATTGGGTTTTCAATCACTTGAATAATGAAGAGCGGTTTGTAAGAAAATCCAATTTTCGTAACGATCGATGAATCTGGACAACGCTGGAGCATTTCTTAAATAACTAAAATTCTAGAAAAGCTATTCCATTTCCAAAACATGTTATCAAAACTAGATTAAATTCTATACAAACCATAGGAAGGCCGAGTTCCGAAAAAATCTGAAATAGCCATTTTGATTTTAATCTTTAAATACTACTGAATCTAGAAATTTAATTTTGCATGAGTGTTTTATGCTCTTGTGTTCATGAATATGCTTATTAGTTGATGATCATGTCTTGGTATGATATTGCATGTGTTATGGTTACGTTTCTTATATTCTTCATTTTAATGATGCTCATGCTTATGTAGATATTACTATTTTGTTGAGTTTGTTCTAACTTGACTTAAAACATTAATCAAAACGGAAAACTTAATTGGGATGATATTGGGTTTTCAATCACTTGAATAATGAAGAGATGATAATGTGTTATGTATGGATTGACGGGATGTGCTCCCTAATTGGAGGTTAAGTCTTGCGCAAGCGATTGTTGCATAAACCCTAGAATGGAACGGACGTATTCGGACTCTTTGCGATGGTTTGATTGGTGAGATAGGGTTAGGTCCGGATGGAACATTCAGGAGAATAATTTTTTTTTGAAAGGATAAGGTTGGATTCAGGAGATAAAACCTTTTTCTTTTCGCTGTCCCTTTTGAGGCCTTGCGGTTAGCGCTACGCGGTATATAACTGTTGGTAGGCATCCGAGATTAGTTCTGCAACAAAGCAGCAAAAAGGGGAGTTTCGAATAGTTCGGTGTCCAATTCTTGTGGTTGGGAGAATGAAATCTCTTTAGGGGATTTCTAGAATACTAACCACTAACATTATAACCTTTGTTATCTATTTGAATGACATGTTCCTTTCCTCTATTATTGAAATTGCTGTTATTGACTTGAATATCATGCTTCACTACTTGTTGCTATAAATGTGATGGTGTATTGGATTGGGAAAAAGGGACGGGGTGTGTGTGTGTTTACTGGGCATTCAAAACTCATGGCGTTTCATGCTAGGTATTGAAGACTATTAGACCGGTCGAAGGCAAAGCTGAAACATTTGAGGACGTACGGCTACCCTAGGAGGATTAGAAACTAGTTTGTAAACATGTTTGAGATTGTAAGTGATAGATCCCATGTTGTATTTAAGACATGATTTTGTAATTTGTATATATATAACGTTTGTAACCTATCCTTATATCCCGTCAACTCATGTAGGCCTTGTGTTAATACACTGTCAAGATCTGTCAAAAAGGTAGCTTTGCTATCTAAGATGGTTGGACCTTGAAGGGAGGCTATTTTGACTCCTCCGACCTTCTTAGAATCTTGCTTGGTTATTATTCAAAGGACTCATTAATGACGTTTTCTACTCTTGTAACCTTAGATAAACCCTGTATTTAGTGGTTAATATATTATCTGATGTTCTCGATTTTTGGGGCTTCACAGTCAATATGTCATTTTCTGTTTAAGTTTGAATAGAAGTTAGTTTTAGGAGTATACTGAGATAAACTTGAAACATGAAAAACCAAAGTAAGAAAAAATAAACTTCAAGGGTCAAAGTGGAAAAGTGATCAAACATAAAGAGGCAAAATGCAATTTATCCTTTTAATTTTATCAATTTAAACTCTAAATCTGCGATTTGCTTTTAATCTAAACCATTTACTTATTTCCATTAAGTAAAATCGATAGAAAAATTTGCATTTTAATCATTAAGCTTAATGAAAGAGTATGGGAGATGGCTTCTCTTCAGTCGATATCAGATTGGATGGTGTTATTGGGCCTTCATGGGCTTGCCACTGAGCCTGCATTGATGATCTGAATCGTTCAATGCGTAAAACTTGTTGAGTACTTTGTCCCTATAAAAAAATCATGTTGATTAAATATCGATAATGTGATTTGATCAAATGTCTACTAATATCCGATTAATGTAATTTTTTGCAAGAATAAATATTCGACAAGCCCTATACATTTAATGGTTTTGGTTATCGATGCGAGTTTCGTGGTGGGGCCACGAAGGCCCAATAACACCCTCTAGTTGGTTTTCCCAACTGGAGAGAAGTTTCTCCCTTTTATGTATACCTATATTGAGTTTAATGACTAAAGTATTATTTTTTCGTTGAATTTACTTAATAAAAACAGGTGAATGGTTTACATTGAAAATAAATAAAAATATTAGAATTTAAATTGAAAAAATTAAAAATTTATGGTTTATTTCAAACCATAAAGTTTTTTTTTTTGTAGTTGTCCCAAAAAAATTTAAAAATTGTGCGTACTGATTTCCGCACTAGATGAAATGGATCGGAGCCTTGTGATTGAATTGGACTATTCAGGATCCGAAGGCCTACAAAATGGAAGCATAGTTAGAGCTACCTGCCTGAGATTGGCCGGGAAACCTCTCCGGTGTGAGAATCAGTAATCCAAGAAGATGAAATTATATCTCTAAGTGTAAAGAGAGGAAGAGAGTGTATGTTAGTTAAGTTGGAGTAAGATTCAGTTCTATAAATGAGATGAGAGTGTTTGCTTATATAAGAAACTTAACTTGTTCCCCAAGATGAACATCACGAAACTTGAGTGTCTTAAGGCTCTCTTTATCATTACTCAAGGTGAAGAGCGCGTGTTAGCCATGGAGGCACATGCTTACTTTAACTATGTATATAACAAAGCATATTTCTTCTCCTAACTGTTTTCATGATTCTGAAAGGGAGGACCAACTGATGTGGCTTTTTTCACATACGTGAGTGTTCATAGTGTCAATGCCTGCTTAAGAATGCCTTAGCTCGATGCACTTGGTTCCTCGACCAGACCTTTGTGTTGGACTTTTATGAATCTGTTCATAGAAATAGGCTGGACCATAAAGATGACTTTGTGTGGGTTCACCCCACATCGGTTCTACTAATGGGCTCGACCCATCTAGTTTGACCCAACCTCGAGCCTTGCCTGGGCTGGTCATGATTGTAACGGATTTGGCCAAGTGCTTGAGGACTTAAGGCCTGTCCTCATGGGTGTTTGGTCCATACAAGATGGCTATATAGGATTGGGTTTAACAGATTGGATCAACCCAAGGCTTAAAACCCGATCCGTTTACATTGAGCACCTTTAAAAAGCAAATCAAACATGGCTTAAGTTTTTATTTTGTTATTATTGTTATTTGTGTAAAAAAATAAAATAAAAATAGTATACATAAATGTTTTAAAATAAATGAAAATAAAAATAAATAAGTATATTTAATGAGTTGGTAGAGATGATGGTGGTAGAATGTGGTCGAATGTAATGATTGTCAATGGGGGCAACCACAGTTGGTTGTCTAAGTTAATAGTTAAAGTTTCGCCACTTATCATGAGGTTATCGAATGGTTTTTGAAAAAATGAATTAAGTCACTGAAGTGAAGTAATTTGATGGGTTGTTTGTGATGTCTTAAATAAGTGTATTTTTTGTCTTTTTAGATTAAAAAATTGAGGTTGAAAATATGAATGTTTGGGTTAATTTTTTGACTTTTTATGGAAAAATGTGTATTTAAAAATTGTATAAATTAATGTGTAGGAGAAAATTAGTATTGGGAGTTGTGCAGCCATAATTATTGACTTTTAGTGAATAGTGATAACTTTTTAACCTTTTGAGTAACTTTTTGACTTTTTTGAGACTTCCCAAACTTGGCCTAATTAATTATTATTGGTGGACGATAGTAAAAGAAAGAGAGTACAATTTTGCTTTTGAAAAAAAAAAATATATATATATTTTAAAAAATTTAAAAATAATATATTAAATAAATTTACCTTATTCATTTCCAAACCAAAAAATAAAAAATAAAAAACCAAAATAGAAAACAAAATTGATTTTCTGTGGGCCTGAAGTCTTACAACTGGGCCTGGGCTGAAGACTAGAAGGGAAACTATCTATCTATCCACTCGAGGATCAAATCCCGTGCAAATGGGGGCCCTATCTTTTCTCGAAATCAAATCCTAACCACTTCTCTCTCTCTCTGTCTCTCTCTCTCTCTACACAGTGAGTGTAGTAGCAGTAGAGCAAGCAACAATGGTGTTCAGTTTGACCATGGCGACACCCTCTGTAGATTTTAGCTGTTTCAGCGCTTCAAATGAGACCCTCCTCTCATCTTCTCCCTTCAAAACTCTCAAACTCCCTCTTTTCTGGCCATGGCAGAAGGTATTCTTCTCTCTCTCTCTCTCTCATGTACTGTTGTTTACATTTATACATTTTTCAGCCAAACTACACTTAATTTTAATTTTATCAATTTTTTCAGTGTGACAATTTAAATCAGTTGGAGGAGTGTTTAAAATAATTATAACAATTATTTGATGCAGTAAAGATCTGAGAATTGTGTAGGGGTATTTCAGATATACAAAAGTTGTGATGAAGCGTGTGCGTTATATATATATATATATTAGGGATAACCCGTGCCTGAAGGCACTATGAACAATTTTTGTTACGAAATTCAATTATAATAAATCAATTTAAAATGATAATGTCATTCTAATATGAAACTTCACATAAAACAGGAACAAATGATATAAAAAAAACTGAAATAAATAACTAATAAATTTCAAATTTTGTATTTCCTAATGAATTTATCATGAATGTAAGCTTCCCACCTCATTCAGATAATTGGGGTGATGCCTTTAAGAGTTCCCACCTCATTCTCTAACATATTTTCAAAGTCAGCCATGTTTAAGAAATAGTTAAAATTAGTCTAATAAAACATCAAATATCAATAGGAATAAAACATCAAATATCAATAGGTCTTGAAAAGAAAAATGAACTCATAAACAAACCATGAAAATAGTGCATCTAAATACACTGGTCTTTCTTAATCAAGAAACATAAAATGCATAACCATATAACATTCTCCTTCAACCCACTAATAAATTATTCCCGCACAACAGACACTAAATTTACACAAAATCCATGTCAAGCATATGTGACTTCCACCAAAATATGCAAAGATACTAATTTAGTGAATTTTCAAAGGCACTTTACTGTCCACACTCAATAACCATTCATAAGGTCCAATCTTTTACATTGATAAGAGACTTTACAAAAATATTAGAAATTCATTGAAGTACATACCAGTAGGAAACTTTACAAAAATGGTTAACATCAAGGATATACTTTACAAAATATTTGTCAACTTTACGAAATTTATGCCATATAATGTCTTTAAACTTGTTCTTTTACAAAAAAGTACATGGACGCCTCTAAAGCGCTTGGACACCCTCAAACTTGTTCTCCATCATATTCTGAAATGTCCGAGTATCAACTTCTATGTACTTTTTTCCGTGAGGAGCATACACAACAATCTAATATTTAAAAAAGCAATAACATTAGCATATTGACATAATACGAAAAATAGATATTGAAACAATATGAACCAAAGATACCTTATTATAATTTCATCGGAGCAATGTAGTCTTATTTATCCTCTTGAGCTTCATAGCTTTTTCAACCCAATCCTACAAAAGTTTGACTTGATCATAATTTAAACACAATTTTAATTAAAATACACTTTCAATTTATTTCCTTCTTTCATCATTTGTGTTCTTTTTTAAACTTTAGTTACTTCCATCTTCCATTTGAGAAATTTTATATATCTTTGTAAAAGATCCTTTATAATTTTTTAAGGATGCATAATTTAGTTTGAAAATCAGTAATATTAAGAAAATTACTCAGAGATTATGCATGCTTCAAAATATCACATTTCCCCCATGATTTTCTTTATACATGTTCCAAAACAAACTTGAAAAGAACCATACCACTTGTGTATTTTTTATTCCCTTTCTTGAGTAGTTTTCCTTTTCTTTTCCTTTAAACTTCTCATTTTCCTTTGCCTTTGCATTTGCCTTTACCTTTAAAAAAATAAGCAAAAATTATTAAGAAAAAAAATATGAGAAACAAATAAATTTGATTAGTGGGTTTAACCCACGAACACAGAGGACATTGAAGTCTCGTTCATTATGGATCACAACACTGACATTTTTGTTTTGAAGAAACTAAACCTGTGTATAATGCATTTGAAAGGTCAAAGAAAAATTATATTAAGGAATGTAGATTAAATAAAAAACGAGTATAGAGATCTAATATCACTGTTTCCTCTAACATATCATCCACCTGCAAAAAAAAAAATACAAAAGCATTTGATTATGCGAAAAATTATAAATAATAAGTAAGAAATTAAGCCTCGATTCATAAACTATAAAGTAAACATACATAACCAAAAATATGAATGTTGTCCATGATATAAATTAAAATGAACTCCAAGGTTGTTAAAGAGGTTGAAACACTAAAGATCTGTAGTAAAGAAATAACTCATTTAATAGTGCTATAAATAGATTAAGTTTAAATACCAATGGGCTGTACAATGACTATTTGATTACTTAATTGTGCCATAATAAAAATACAATGGGCTAGTTCTTTCTCACTATAATTTTAATTTTTAACAATCAAATAAAAACAAAAGATCACAAAACATTATTTTGCATGTTAAAAAAGGAAACTCAATTTACACATTTATCAAAATAACCCAAATCATTTATCAAAACACTAATCATATTTGAAACACTTCAATCTCATTGATACTTTATTTGGTTCACTGGAATGAGATAAATGATGATTCCCATTGTAATGAATTTTTCATTATTCTTTTAATCAACCAAATATGAGAAGTGTAAGGAATCTTTGAACTTTATTATAGAAGATTAAAACATAGTGAAAAAAAAAAAATGTAATGATAGGAAAAATCCAAAAATCAACAAATTTGACTATCCAAGCCTATAAACAACAATTCCTATTTAGCAAAGTTGAGAGCTCTATCCGCTAAACAACAATTTCCAACAACACATTAAACATATGTTAAAAAACTTAAATCCCATCCCATATCCCAAAAATGTCTGATTTCCTGAGATGAGAAAACAACAAAGAAAAACAACCCATTTCCATTATTCATTCATAATCAACAATGATTCAAGATACAATGATAGCCTGCTCAATCCATTTCAAAAGCATAACAACAAACTAAGCATCACTGTAACAATGTAATAAATATATTTAAAAAAAAAAAAAAAAGGTCGAATGTAACAATCAATCTTCAAAACAAACTGAAATAGATATGTAACGACATAAAATGAAATGCAATGAAATGATGGGTGTTGAAGGTGGGGGTGGGGAGAGGGCTTCGAGCAATGGAGTTACATATCAGAGCCGTTGGGGTGGGAAGTGGTTTTTTGGCTAAATGTCATATAAGACTCTGTATTTACCTACTTCTTCGTTTGGTTTTCCTCTTTGGCTTGACACACCTTTAACTTGGAGCACGAAACTGATCAATTTTGCAATATGCATTCATCGGACTGGACCAAACAGTTGAATATAGTTCTCTAGTTGTGTGTAAACTTGGTGTTTTATCCATTTCTTGAAAAACCATTTTGACTTAAGGTTATATTAGTTGCTAAAATCAGAGGGCTTAAGTTTTGCTATTTTTTGAATACATACTTGGGTTTTATATAGCCAAATAGAAAACCAACTACAATTAAAAAATAATATAAGCAAAAAGCCACAACTATATAAGAAGCCAAAAAGCAAGACAATCCATTTCAATTATCACAATCCAATTTACCGGATTAATAAATGATACTGATTACTTGAAAGTAGAAAAATGAAAGAAAAAAATAGGAAGAACACAACCCATCATTGGATTATTAATAAGGAAAACAACCCCAAAATGTCTGATTTCCTGATTAATCCCTAAAATCAATCAATTTCAATTATAACTTGCTTAATATAATTATAAACTGCTTAATACATTCATAATCAAAAGCATGAACAACAAAATGATTCAAAAATTATAACCTGCTTAATACAGATTTATGGATAAATAATTCAAAAGCATGAACAAAAACAATGTAACAATCAACAACAATAACAATATAACATGCTTACCACAATTCACAACAGGTGGGAATGGAATTAAATTGGAATTATATTTAAATGAAAAAGAAGAAAAAAGTAAAATTATATTTCATTCATATAATTTTAGGGTGTATCATGTACAGATACTAAAAATTCTTGGTTCAAAAGATTGGTATTATCGAAATTGGTTTTCTTCTATAAATTGAAATTAAACAAAAATAAGATGAGCAATATAGAGTAGGGATGAGGTTGTCAATTAAAATTTTATTCAAGTCTAAGCATATGGAAAAAAAAAAAAAAAAAAAAAAAAAAAAAAAAAAGAAAAAAAAGAAAAAGAAAAAAATGAGAAGCTGATCATACTGGAAGGTTTTATCATGAGTTGAAAAATGATGATAGGTTATCTAACAAAAAAGTAAGAACGATGATTCTTAAATTTTCTAAATTTATTTAGCTGGGTTTATAATGGGCAATAAATTATAAATAACACCTCATTACACAGGTTATTTACTCAGTGCTCTATCTAATCATCCCTTCAAGAATATGGCAAATAGCCATATTTGCTCATGCTTCCATTGGCCTTCTAGCCTAAGCGAGGAGAATAATGTTGTTAATGATTACATAGGTTATATAATCTATACTCTAACTAATCATCCCTTCAAGAAGATGGCAAACAACCATATTATGATTGTCTATTTGCTTTGGCCAAAGCAGAGGAGAACGAAGCTACTTTGACTTGTTTACCAACTAATAGATTATAGTTTAAATCATGAAAAGAGACATGAAACCATATAAATCATGAAACCATATAAGTTCACCAACAGTTTTCTTTACTTCTTTTACACGTCGGGACATGATTTTTAGGGGAAAAGAGACCCCCAAAAAAAAAAAAAAAGAAAGAGAGAGAGAGAGAGAGAGAGATAGAGAGGGAAAAAGATGAGGCAATTCAAACCATATAAAATGTCTTAACCATGAACAATAACAAATAAAGTCAATCTCCAAAGATATCTTAATAGCACTTCCAAACACAATCAGACTCCAATCAAAATTGAGTGAATTCGTGTAACAAAGCTAATTAATCCAAGAACTTGACACATTTCAATGAAGCATCTTCTAAAACATATCTTCTAAAGCACATCTTATTATTACTATTTTTTTTGTAATTATTCATGAAACAAACAATAGAAACCAATATGGTGGATACAAACCAAAATGTATATAAAAAAGAATGTAGTGAAATCAAGCTACAACCAAACTGCAAAATTAAGACAAAAACACAAATCCAAATCCTACAAATCTAAATCCTCCAAACAACACATTTCACCAAATCAAGCTCACTACCAGAATTGTGCAACTAAATAAGAAAATATGGGATAGGATTGTGCAACAATACATACCAAAACAAATAAAAGACAGGATACCCTTTATTGGATTTGTTTCCTATCGTAAAATAGCCCTTTTTGTTTTCACCAAATCAAATATTTCCAGCGTTTCTTGCCTAACAGGATAGAAATTTTTTCAAACCCTTAGAAACACAAACACAAACACAACCCTTTATAGGCCAAAAACTGTCTGATTTGTTGATTAATTCCCAAAAACTGTCTGATTTATTGATTAATTCCCAAAAATTGTCTTGATTAATCCGTTTCATGAGATGAGAGAAAACAACTCAGAAAATTTCCATAAATGATTAAAAAACATGAAGAGAGTGAGAGTGAGAGTAAGAGTGAGAGTGGGGGGACTGGAAGAATACGACGACGACCACCGAATCAACGAAGAGCCAATGAAGCAACAAAGAACCACCGAAGCAATGATGATGAATGGGTTTGAATACAACCACTGTGGCAAAGAAAGAGAGAGAAACAGTGTTGATGAAATGGGTTTTAGGCGGTGAAGGGGGAGTGAAATGGGTTTGAAATGAACAATCTCAACCTTTAAATCCATAAGATAGATGTTCCATTGGGATTCAAACCCACTTCAATTAAACTAATGTAAAACAATGAAACTCTCAAAAACCAATTCCAAAGACTTTTGTTTGAACAGTATGATACTGTGAAGGGCCTATTCGTGAATTCTATAATTCTGTTAAGGGCCTATTCGTTGAAATAAAAAAATGAAATGTGGTTTAGATTTAAATGTCTTCTAAAATCTCTTGAATAAGGCGACAAGACAAAATGTATGTAAGAAGAGTTTTGAGAGAATATTGGAATGTAGGTTAAGTTTTCAAAATTTACTTGTCATGTCATTTGCGAGGATTTGGGAGAGGGGGGAAAATTATGTGGATGAATTATTTTTCGGGCAAATTACATATACCTCCTTCGAGGTTTAGTTAAATTACAGATACCCTCCTAAGGTTTCAGAAATAACATCCCGCTCCCTGAGGTTTGTATTTTCATAACAATTTGCCCCCTGAGATTTATATTTCATAACAAATTAGCCCCTTATGAAATATAGCATTTAGGGAAAAATTTGTAATTTCTCAAACCTCAGGGGTATCTGTAATTTAGCCAAACCTCGAGGGGGGTATATGTAATTTGCTTAAAAATTAATAAATCGTACTTATAAATTTGATTTTAATATACCCAATTTGATTTTAATAAACCCAAATTTTAATAAACCAGACTAAAAAATCTGATTCTTGCTCCCCCTACCCACCCAAATAATGACAATTTTAAGAAAAAAATTAAAAAACCAAGCTTATAAATTTCCTACATAACCAACCAAAACAATGATCAATCACAAACTGTAAACATCAGACACAATGTTTCAATCACAAATTCGACAATGTTTAAATGTTTTACCTAATCAATGTTTAAATGTTTCAATCACAAATTGATTATTGAAATTAAAGATTAGAGTAAAGATTATCCAAAAATTAGAGTAGAGATTATCCAGAGATTATCCAAAGATTAGAGTAAAGATTATCCAAAAATTAAAGATTAGATTAAAGATTATCCAAAGATTACCCAAAGATAGAAATATAAATACTAAAGATAAAGCCCAGGTTTGCTCACCTAAACAGTATGTATACCGGATTATTCATGAGATGAGAGAAAACAACTCAGAAAATTTCCATAAATGATTAAAAAACATGAAGAGAGTGAGAGCGAGAGTGAGGGGACTGAGACCTTGAGGGGAAGAGAGAGGTGTTACCTGAATACGACGACGACCACCGAATCAACGAAGAGCCGATGAAGCAACGAAGAACCAACGAAGCAATGATGATGAATGGGTTTGAATACAACCACTATGGTTGATGAAATGGGTTTTGGGTGGTGAAGGGAGAGTGAAATGGGTTTGAAATGTTTTCAACTTTCAAACTATATCCAACGGTGAAATGAACAATCTCAACCTTTAAATTCATAGGATAGATGTTCCATTGGGATTCAAACCCACTTCAATTAAACTAATGTAGAACAACGAAACTCTCAACAACCAATTCCAAGGACTTTTGCTTGAACAGTATGATACCGTGAAGGGCCTATTTGTGAATTCTATAATTCTATTAAGGGCCTATTCGTTGAAATAAAAAAATAAAATGTGGTTTAGATTTAAATGAGACAAAATGTAAAAAAAAAAAAAAATAGTTGATAATTGTAAGAAAAAATTAATAAATCATACTTATAAATTTGATTTTAATATATCCAATTTGATTTTAATAAACCCAAATTTTAATAAACCGGACTAATAAATTTGATTCTTGCTCTCCCTACCCCACCCAAATAATGATAATTGTAAGAAAAAATTAAAAAACCAGGCTTATAAATTTCCTACACAACCAACCAAAACAATGATCAATCACAAACTGTAAACATCAGACGCAATGTTTCAATCACAAATTGGACAATGTTTCACCGAATCAATGTTTAAATGTTTCAATCACAAATTGATTATTGAAATTAAAGATTAGAGTAAAGATTATCCAAAAATTAGAGTAGAGATCATTATCAGTAAAGACTAAAGATTAGAGTAAAGATTATCCAAAAATTAAAGATTAGAGTAAAGATTATCCAAATATTACCCAAAGATAGAAATATAAATACTAAAGAAAAAGCCCAGGTTTGCTCACTTGAACCGTATGTATACCGGATTATTTCTTTGTTGAACACCATTGTTCCCTTTTGCAGTCCCCTTGTTCCTCTTTTGCAACGGCTCCGTCGTCAATGGGGTTTGGGGCTGCCATTGTTGATGAAGATTAGGAGAGAGAGGGAGGAACAGAGAAGATGAAGAGAGTAATACGGGGTTTGGGGTTCAATCGCCAGCAAGGGTTGGGCGGAATGGGGTCCGATGGAGGTAGAGAGAGAGAGGGGGTGCCGTCGTCAATATTCAAGGGTGTTTTGGGCTGCCACTGTTGATGAAGATTGGGATGGCGGAGAGATGGAGGAAGGAAGAGAGAAGATGATGAGAGGGAACGGGCTCCGACAGGGAAGGTTGGGATCTGATGGAGAGGGAGAGGGAGAGAGAGAGAGAGAGAGAGGGGGGGCTGTGTGTTTTCAAAATTTGAAATAAAAAAAGAGATAAATGGGAGAGACAAATGGGAGTGAGAGAGAGAGAGGGGTTCTGTTGAAAATGAGAGAGACAAATGGGGTGAGATATTTTGAGCCCTTAGATTAAATCAATCTAATGGTCCAAATTTTGACACAGGTATAAGAGTCACATCAAGATTCAAAATTCTGAGTTGTTTTGTTATATAGATATAAAAATATATATATATATATATTTGTTTTGTTATATAGATATATATATATATATATATATATATATTTTATAACCGGTGTCGGGTCACTTACGCGTACCTCGATTAATTCCGAGACGAATTCCATCCCACCGTCCACTTACAGGGCCCATTTAAGGTTGTGCTTGATGTAATAGTATAGTTTGATAGTGTCCGTTTAGAAATATGACTTGGTAGAATAATTCCATTTTAAATAGACTGTTTGTTATTGATTTATGTCCAATATGGATGCTATCAATTGAATTAAATGAAAAATTCAAAAGTAAAATTGATATATGGCGACCAAATTAATACAAGAGACAAATTACAGGATCAACTGGTGTAATTGATCGATCCAATATTTTGCTTAAGCACATGTTTTGATGGTAATGGCAGGTGAAAATGGGCCCACTGACTGTATCCCCAATGGGGTTTGGGACGTGGGCATGGGGAAACCAGCTTCTGTGGGGATACCAAGAAGCAATGGACAGTGAGCTTCAACGGACCTTCAATCTAGCCGTTGAGAATGGAATCAACCTATTTGATACGGCTGATTCTTACGGGACTGGCCGGTTGAATGGCCAAAGTGAAAAGCTTCTTGGCAAGTTCATCCGTGAATTTCAAGGTCAGCTTTAGTTCTGAATTATAATTGTCCAATTTTGGTCACAATTTGATTGAGAAAAGACGGTGATTTCGCTTGTGCATTTGTTATATTGTTTGATGCTTGAAAAATGTTGTACATTGTTGATTAATGAAACCCTTTTTGAATGCCTAACGGTGCTCAGATATTGAATTTAAATTAATGATAGCATTTACAGTCTGAAGCAATTAAAACTTACCATTTGGTTCAATTTGTGTCCAATTGCACAATGTTTATTAATCTGACACCCATATGATCACCGGCTCTTAACTTTATTGGATACATTTTGTTGCCCTAGGGAATGTAGTTGGGGTTGTTCGTGTTCTTTGTACCTCCAGGCCAGTGGTCTGGGTTGCTTTGTTTATGCATACATGGTTGTGCATTTCATTTTTTGTTTTCTATTTTCATGGGAAAAAATTTCTTTGGCAAATTGTTTCCTAAAATTTTTTCAGGAAAATTTTCTGAAAACAACCTACTTTAGTTTCTGAAAACACAAAAATGAAATCAAACAATTTTTAAAAAATTAAAAACACAACCACACAGTATTTTTTTGGTTGTAGGATATTTTTTAAGTTTGCCAAGTTTTGCACTGATTATTTTCTCAGGACAAAAACAGGTAAAGGATAAAATTTTGATTGCTACCAAGTTTGCAGCATACCCATGGCGCCTGACACCTGGACAGTTTGTGAATGCTTGCAAGTATGTTTCCTCTCATTTAATTTTCTCTTATAATGCCAATTACATTAGGCAGTTTGTGAATGCTTGCAAGTGTAATCTTCTTGTAATGCCAATCAAATCAAACTCATTATTGATAGGTATCTAGGATAGGTTCTCTAGTTTTGCAACTATTTAGTTGTATCTCAAAGACAACAACACAAGCATATTTATCTGTTTTTATCAATTACGCCTCTTAGCATGTGCAAGTCGATTAACTGCTTTTGTTGTCTTAAATATATGGATTTTGATTCTGAATGGTATTTCAGGTCTTCTCTACAGAGGATGGAAATTGAGCAAATAGGAATAGGACAGCTGCACTGGTCGACAGCAAACTATGCTCCTCTGCAGGAATTAGCTCTCTGGGATGGTTTAGTGGCAATGTATGACAAGGTTACCATGAATTTTTTGGTTCCAGGAATAGAAGTGATTGATCAAATGATAATGGCTAAATTTGGTTTAATTTTACACTTGAACCTTGACAAAAAAGGGGCTGGAGTGATTTATCAACTTGAGTTCATGATTATTATACCACTTTTAGAATGGGAGGAGAATTATTATTATTTTTTGGTCACTAGGTGATTTTTCGACTACAATTTCAAATTTTATACAGGCTTTCAGATGTTAACGAGAACAAAACTGTTGGTTTAGTTTCCAGATCATATCTGTTTGCACTTCATTATAATTGCAGCATCATATCCAAATCCTTAAACTCATGAGGTGGTAAAATACAGGGCTTAGTTCAAGCAGTTGGGGTGAGCAATTATGGACCAAAACAGCTTGTGAAGATATATGATTACCTTAAAGCAAGGGGGGTTCCTTTATGCTCAGCTCAGGTGCTATCTTATGCAATCTCATGAAGATTTGTATGCTTACGGCTTTCATATGGCAATAACTCGATTTTTTTGAGCCCCCCATGCAAGAAAACATTTGCATTACTGTCTGGATTATCTTAGATCTTGTTGATTTTAGACCACACTCTTACAGCTATAAACTAGAAGTAGCGTATCCAAACCTTGTTAAATCACCATTAGTCCCAAAAGCTTTAGTTGTTAGGCAATGGGCCTAAACAATGTATATTAAGCTATCTAATACTTGTTCAAAAAAAAAAAAAAAAAAAAGCTATCTAATACTCTCTTTCACATGCAACTCTTTCTTGCAAGAAGAGATGCAAACATTAATACATATAGAGAAGAAAGAATATCAACGAGAGACAAAAAATGCAAATGGATAGACTTGACCCCAAGACCTCTCGCAACCTGAGCTCTGATACCATAATAAATCACCACTAGTCCCAAAAGCTTAGGTTGTTAGGAAATGGTCCTAATCAATGTATATCAAGCTATCTAACAAACCCAAACCTGTTAACCCATGCAAAATACATGAGTTTCGGCTGGCCATCTTGCATGACAAGTCATATTTGATAACCTTACTAGACTATAAATATTGCTTGCGTTTGGGTTAGGTTCTTGGACCCATTCATTATATACATACAGTGACACACAAATACATAATTACAAGTTCTATTGTAGATTTATTCTACACTGTTATGCTTAGCTAATTTTTACCAAATTCAGGTACAATTTTCATTGCTGAGTATGGGCGAAGATCAGATGGAGATCAAAAATATATGTGATTCTTTGGGTGTCCGCTTGATTTCTTATAGCCCTCTGGGGCTTGGAATGCTTACTGGAAAATATTCACCTTCTAATCTTCCACGAGGACCTCGGTACTTAAAATTTCTCTCTCTCTTTCAACAGGGTAAAAAATTGATTTCTAGTTTCAAAGCACTATTTGATGTTTGTCTCGTACCATATTATATTGCCTTTTTACAGGGGCCTACTCTTCAGGCAAATTATTCCAGGGCTGGATCCTTTATTGAATTCACTAAAAAAAATTGCACAAAGAAGAAAGAAAACTATGCCACAGGTACTTTTTCTTGACTTTCTTTAGCAATTTCTTTACTGCTACAATAATTGGAATGTTGTTTAGAAGTCCAAGGAAGTAACGAAATAATGATTACAATGATGTTGCTCAACCACTAGTCTGCCGGTATGCCTGATTTGAAACTCCTTTTGTGTTACTGAGCTTACTATCTTAAGTGGTCTACCTTTCACATATGCATTGAGCTACATGGTTTACTGTCTATACCCTATATGGCATTGGGCCACATGGTGCAAAGGTACTAAGGGAGGAGATCAGATCAGAGTTCATTACAAAGAGAAATATGTGGGGAACTGAAATATTTTGGGGCAGTTATGTGAGGAGATAGTTAAGGTGAAAGTGGAACCTCTTTCAATTTCCAATAGTTTTAATCTTTTGTCAATCTCAAGTTGATTTATGCTTGTCCTTCAGAGCGATTAATGGTAATCATTAGTTTTCCAAAATTCTTCAGTTTTCTTGTCTGGCAAAGTTTCTTTTCACACATAAAATTTTGTTTAGGTCCTTGCATCCAAGGCAGAGAAAAAGCCAGTGGCCTATTCATGTGCACTGTCACAGTTTGTCAAAACTTGGATGACACTGGTCCTGGCACACCTGCTTTACACACACGTCAGAGTGTTTTACCCTTTCTTAGGGAACACTTAAAAAATAATTTGTTAAGCTACATGGTTGTTAAATGTCATGAAAGGTCCTCCATGGAGGCACATGAAACAACTGCTTCTTTCCTCATGTTGGAATTGAAGTTAAGAATTTGTATTTCTTTATTTTTATTTGTGCCCAATGAGGATCTTCTCTTATACCGTGCACATATATTAAATTCCATGTCTCCAATTGAAGCTTGTGACATTAGTAACATTTCTCCGCATCTACAGCATTATCCTTGTAATGCTTCCCCCTTTACTAGGGCCATGAACGAACTTTAGTTCTTTTCTTATTGTTAATTAACTTTAGTTCATTACTTTGATTCTCTACTAGGGTCATGAACTTACATTAGTCTTTTCTTATTGTTATTCTTTACTTTGGTTCTTTGCTTGTAGCATTACTTCATTTATTTTCCTTGGCTCTTTACTATGTCCATGATTGTACTTCAGTTCTTTTCTTATTGTTACTGTAAGAAATAATGTATAGAGAAAGAGAGAGAATAAATTGTATGTATTATTATTGATTGATATATATTGATATCTATTACAATGATTCATGATTCCTATATATAGAAGAGGGTGAGTTTGTAGTAGGTAAGGAGTAGGTGAAGTGGAGGTGGTAGGGAACCATTTGTAATAGACAGAATATCATATCAATATAAATCAATCAATAATACAATTCTCTATTTCTCTTTATACATTAAATTTTTACAAGGATCTTCTCTTATACCGTGCACATATATTAAATTCCATGTCTCCAATTGAAGCTTGTGACATTAGTAACATTTCTCTGCATCTACAGCATTATCCTTGTAATGCTTCCCCCTTTACTAGGGCCATGAACGAACTTTAGTTCTTTTCTTATTGTTAATTAACTTTAGTTCATTACTTTGATTCTCTACTAGGGTCATGAACTTACATTAGTCTTTTCTTATTGTTATTCTTTACTTTGGTTCTTTGCTTGTAGCATTACTTCATTTATTTTCCTTGGCTCTTTACTATGTCCATGATTGTACTTCAGTTCTTTTCTTATTGTTAAGCAACTTTTGTTCATTATTTTGGATCTTTTCTTGTGGCATTGGCTCACTTGTTTTTGGATTGGAAGATTGGATACTGATAAACCTTCATTTGGTAGGACTTACGAATTTGTTGTCTGCCTTATTGGATGTCTTCTTTGGCACTGGCTTGGAACTCCTGATCTAAGATATTTTGGTTGGTAGAAGGGACAGTGCAACCAACTGGGCTAGCTCAGTTGGCCACCCCTATACACTTCTATCTGGGAGGTCAAGGGGTTAGTCATTGCCAAAAGCAAAATTTGATAATTTCTCCCCTATTATCTTTCCTTATTGTTAGGTTGGTTATTGGATTTCTACAATTGTTGGACTATGATTGTCTAGATGCAATAGTCTTCATATTTATTTGTAAAATAAAAAATTAAAGAAGGAAAGAAGGGGCAGTGCAAAACATTTGATTGCCTAAGTAACTATGAGGAAAGGCTTTTCCAATGACATGGTTGCATATATATTCTAAAAATCAATAATATATTCACTACACTTAACTATGTTATAAAAAATTGAGTTGATTGATTTACAGAGTAGTGATGAAGTTACAGCGAAGAAGTACTGAGGTTACAAGCGAGGATTATAGTGCTTAATTAGCAGGCCATCAAGAAAAGTAATTTATTAAATTACAAAAGTCATGATATGTCTAGTGCTCAGGCAGATAAAACTGGATATGAAATATAGTCGACGTGTGAGGAGGTAAAAATGGAATTCTAGTGACCATCTTTAACTCATGATCGAGTTTGTTTTGTGACTCATTTACGACCATAAAACTGATGCAAATTTTCTGTGTTTCTATTAGTATGAAAGCAAGCTTTCTTCTTAATTCATGACATTCATCTTGTGGGACATAAGTCAAATGAATGCTATGGCACTTGAACTGAGTTTTTACTTTCATATTCGCTGATGTTGATCCATTGTAAACTTTGTGATTTTGTCTCCACTAGTTCTCAATCTAATGCGAGTGATTTTGCTGGCAGGTTGCCATAAACTGGTGCATCTGCAAGGGTACCATTCCAATACCTGGAGTTAGGACGGTAAAACAAGCGGAGGAAAATTTGGGTGCTCTTGGTTGGCGTCTCAGTTCAGACGAGTTGCTTCAGTTAGAATATGCAGCACTTGAGTCTCCCCGCAAGATGATCCAAAACATTTTTCAAACAAGGTGAATATCTTATCCAGTCATATAACTGCCATTTTTTTCTCAAGGATAAGTGTCTAATAATGTTTTAACATCCTGAATTGCAGATGAAGTTTGGAAAAATGAGTCGTGGCGACGTGGGTTTGTGCAGGTGTGTGTTATTCACAATCACAAAAGGTTGTCAATCAGGGATAACCCACCACATTGTGAAAATTTGAGAGCATGATATGAAGTTGTTTTATGACAGAAACAGAAAAGTACATGCTAAATTTATTATTGTTTGTTGAAGAAAAGAGAATGGCATGAATCTATCAGATTGTTTTCTTGTGCATGTTAATATATACATTTTGGAAAGAAAGAAAAAAGAAAAAAAAAGAAGTTAAAAAGTGAAGTGAGAAAGATTAAAGATTGACTCAATGGATGAGACTACATTTTAGTGATTATGATATATAGATTTAAGTCACACAATTGCGTGATGTAATTTTTTAAAAAAAAATTATTCTCCTTCTATTGATTATTTTTGCTTCGAATTTTATTTTGCTAAAATAATTATGTGCACAATAGATTATGACTGAAGCCTGGGATATTTCCAAGAAAGGAAATATTTAATATCCCACAGGACAAAAACATTGCGGTATTAGAATAAATTCTATGTCAAAGTCAAAAATTTAATATAATTCTTTCAAATTCTTTAATAATAATTGTTTATTTTTTAAATCAAATAATACTAAAATTTAGCAAGAATTTTTCTCTACAAGCTATGTCACTCATGTTAGGAGTGGCATTTATATTTGATTTTGTAGAACAAATAAATGTAAAAAATGGTATTTACACAATTAAAACAATATTGCAAAATTATTTATATTTTGGTATAGTTATATGTCAAAATTTAGATTTGATACCAACCATTAAAGATGGTCCAAGAATTATACTTTATTTTAGGATAAATTACAAATATATCCCTTGAGTTTTGCTTAAAGTATAGATTATCCATTGTAGTTTGAAAAATTATAGGTATTCCCTTGTCAAAATTTTTTATTTAACAGAATTAACTAAAAAAAAGAAATTCATAATTGCTCTCTTATACAATAATAAAATTATCTAAATTATTAATTAAAATATATTTATAACATCATTAAAAATTGTTAATAGACTTGATGATTTATTTATAAAAGGGGTAATTTTTTGTAAAATTAGAAACCTCAAGAATAAAATATAATTTTCAAAATTATAGGAGGCGATTTATATTTTAATCAAATTTCAGAGATGTATTTATGATTTACCCTTTATTTTATTGTCAAAAAGAGAGAGTTAGAAGTTAGATGATGGCACATTAGGCAATTGATGAAAGTTTCATCAGTCAAATAATTTCAAATTTGAGTACACGCATCCAGTGCTTGATTCGTCAGTTATAAATTTATGTGTTGTATGAAATTTGTTTAAAATACGGTTTGATTTTTGTAATTTTAAAAATTATATTTTATCTTTTAAAATTTTTAATTTCATAATAAATAATTTTTTTATTAATAAATTATTAAATTAATTAATAATTTAAAAAATTTGTTTCAACTAATAATTTATATATCGTAAAACAGTTAGAAATTTCTTTTTTTTTTATAAATATATTTTAAACAAAGTTTAAGCGTCCTAAATTTATTTGACAAATAATTTGCCGACCAAATCTATTTTTGATTTTGGATAAAACTCTGTCAACCAAAAAAGGCATTACATGTTTGCACTCACCACCGCCACGTATCACACAACAAAAAGGACCCCTCATCGTCCTCCACGCCCAAACTCACCTCCCTGATTAAAACCCCAATAAAAAAGAGTCCGGATCCTCTGCCGCTTTTCCTGCGCCCATTTGTGCCCCAAAACGACGTCGTTTTGGGGCAAAATTTCCAAAAAAAAAAACAGAGAATCAGAAATCAAAGAAGAGAAAGAGGAGGAGAAGAAGAAAGAAGCAGAGAGGAAGAGAGAGAGAGAGAAAAAGAAAGAAGGCACCACCGCAGGCCTCCCTTCACCCACAGCGCAACCATCTCCCCGCCATCGCCGACTACCAACAGAGTCCGGATCTTGTTTCCTCCTCCTTTCTCTCATTAAACTACCAACCCAGCAACCATCTCGATCTTTTCTCCTCTTTTCTTTGCCGCCGGTGTACCGGAGGGAGTTCGTCGGGAGTTCGTCGGTCATCCTTGTCGCCGTTCCCCCCCGGTCGTCCCTTGCCAATCTTTGCTGGATCTAATGTTTGACTGTTTGTATTGATCTAATTTTTATTAATTTTGATTTATCATTTGGAATGTTCAAGTGTTATTTTGTATATATATCTGTATATATATACATACAAGTTCTGCAAATATTTGGAAAGTTCTGCAAATACATACCATTTTGAATTTGGAATCCCACAAGTTCTGCAAATTTTTTATTGGAACACAAAGTGGGTTTGCATGAAGTTGTTTTCAAGCCTTTAATCTATGGGGATGTGAATAAATTAGCTTCATAGATTCGAGGGGTTAGCTTCACAGATTCGAGCGGCTTGAAGAGGTGTTCTTCTCCTCTCTCTTCCTATGTGCTTGGCTCGTCTTTCCCTCTTTCTCTTCTCCGATTTCTGATTCTGTGTGTGTGTTTTTTTTGCAATTTTTTTTAATTTAAATTTTACCTCAAAACGACGTCGTTTTGGGTTACTGCAGGAATACCCACAGGGAAACGCGGCAGAGGATCCGGACTCAATAAAAAACGTTTCCAACTCCGACATGTTGACTGTCCAGCACTCACCGGTGGTGGATCAGTTAGTTGTTGCTTACAATCCAACCCACGCATATATATGGAAGGGTGTGCAATGCGCATGGCTTCCTCGTCTAGCACTCTCGCTGCTAATCTGCGCACATCGATCACGCGCCTCCCCTCCATCCACCGATCGCCGTCGTGCATTCCGGCGAGATCTCAACTATTCATCCCTAAACCATTTAGCCAAACCTCGAGGGGTGTATATGTAATTTGCCCTTTTTTTTAATTGAAATTTTGCTTCAAAACGACGTCGTTTTGGGTCACCGCAGGAGTGGGAAAAGCGGCAGAGGATCCGGACTCAATAAAAAACGTTTCCAACTCCGACATGTTGACTGTCCAGCACTCACCGGTGGTGGACCAGTTAGTTGTTGCTTACAAACCAACCCACGCATATATATAGAACGGTGTGCAATGCGCATGGCTTCCTCGTCTAGCACTCTCGCTGCTAATCTGCGCACATCGATCACGCGCCTCCCCTCCATCCACCGATCGCCGTCGTGCATTCCGGCGAGATCTCAACTATTCATCCCTAAACCTCTCGCTTGTTCGTTAATCAGACCCAGAAGAGTCTCGGGAATTGGAGCGAATCCGAAGAAATTCGATTGCAGAGCGAAGTTTTCAATGGCTGAGAAACGCCAAGGGAAAGTAGATGTGTTCGATTCGGAGGAATCTCTGTCGGTTTCTCTGGCCAAATACACCGCCGATCTATCGGAAAAGTTTGCGAAGGAGAGAGGTGCTTTCACCGTTGTTTTGTCTGGAGGTTCTCTGATCAACTCGCTCAGGTATCATAGCTAGTCTTCTTTTTTCTGTTTGGTTGCTTAGAAAATTTAGGAAAGGGAAGATTGTAATTAGGATGAATTACACAAATGATTCTAAATTATACTCAGCTAATTTTGTTTTTTTATCTTAGATTTCACACATTGTGTCCCTTCCCCTATATTGTCGCCTTAGGTTAGCCTCACATCACATCAGGCATTGAAGTGTATAAATAGGGGTGATAAACGAACCAAACAGTTCTAACTCGACTCATGTTTGGCTCATTAAAACCTCGTTTGAGCTCAGTTTGATAGGTAAACAAGTTAATCTTCAACATATTTTGAAACTCATTAAGGTTTTCAAACCATGCTTGAACAATTAAACCAAGCTTGAATAGCTGATAGTTTGTTCGGCTCGGTTTGATAAGCCTAAAACTATATAAAAGTATCAAACTACTCAAAAAGCTTGTTAAGATCGGTTTAAAAATTTAGCAAACCAAGTTTGAACAAATTTTGCAACGTGTTAAAGTTTTCAAACCAAGCTTGAACAATTATTTGTCAGCTCATTGGCAAACCCCTATTTATAAAGGATAAAATACACAATCAATTAAAGGATCAAAATGACTCTCAATAATAGAGTGAAAGACATGGTTGTGTTTTGTTTTGTAAATAATATGCATTTTCTACGTGTCCCATGATTCATTTAGGCGAGAAATGAAATAAGTTTCTTTTTATGCCTTTTAAATATCCGATGTCTGATGTGAGACTGATGGTAGTATTTGCTAGTATTTTTCGTATGATTTTTAGACGATAGTTAGGGTAGTATTAGTAGACTGGATTAATGTTATGAAATTTAAGGATGCAATCGGTACAAATTAAAGATTAAGGACTAAACCAAATGGAGTTTGTGGTATGCTTTAGAGACTATTTGTGTAATTTAATCTTGTAATTATCATAGAAAATCATCTTGGTGATTGTTTGCTGTTGATAAATCAGGAAATTAGTCGAAGCTCCATATATTGATTCAGTGGATTGGTCGAAGTGGCACATCTTTTGGGTGGATGAGAGAGTGGTTTCTAAGGATCATGAAGATAGCAATTATAAGCTTGCCTACGATGGTTTTCTATGTAAGGTATGGTTTAAGACCTTTGGTTTTTAATACTAACATATCTTGATTGTGCTGTTTTTATTTACTGAAATTTAGTGAGTGTTTGGGAAGTGGGTTTTTATGTAGGTTTTTTTAGTTGTAGGATATTATTGGATAAAGATTGTTTGCTGTTGATAAATCAGGAAATTAGTCGAAGCTCCATATATTGATTCAGTGGATTGGTCGAAGTGGCACATCTTTTGGGTGGATGAGAGAGTGGTTCCTAAGGATCATGAAGATAGCAATTATAAGCTTGCCTACGATGGTTTTCTATGTAAGGTATGGTTTAAGACCTTTGGTTTTTTAATCCTAACATATCTTGATTGTGCTGTTTTTATTTACTGAAATTTAGTGAGTGTTTGGGAAGTGGGTTTTTATGTAGGTTTTGTTAGTTGTAGGATATTATTGGATAAAATTTTTTTGGTGTTTGGGAAGATAATTGGGTTTTTTTGTGGTTGGATGTGATATTTGTGAGAGAAAAAGTGAAATGATTATGGGATTGGATGTGATATTTTGTTTGGATTGTTTTTTTTTTTAGTTTTGCAAAAAGTTTGTCTTTTAGTGTAAAAAATAAAAAAAAAACCCAGCACACAAACTTCCCAAACACCACCTTAGTGTGAGTTCCAGTGTGTGAAGTTACTTAACTAGTTTTAATCCTACACAAACAAAACAAAAAACAAAAACAAAATTAAAAAATAAAAAATTTACTTGATATCACTGCCAATACAATCACACTATAATTTGGTCAGATGACATGTGGGCCACACGTCAGCCTCGTGAGGTGACTCGTGAATCAATGACAAGTCTCCACGTGCTTCCATCTGGGGTCAAACTATCCTAGCAGTGGCAAATGTACATGGGACCCTTGTCTTCTTAGGTCTAAGAATTAAGGCATTTTCCAAACTGCTTCTAGCATCCCTTGGCTCAGCTAAGGATCCTCCACTTGAGTGGTCACCTTCTCTGCTTGTGAACAGCACACTTGGTGTACCCAGCTCGATTGAATAAGTACCCTACCCTCTTCCTCAGAAGACTTGGGCATACTTATTCTCCAGCCGAGCATGTTCTCCCTCTGGTAATTTCTATCTAATATTCTTATATCTAACTACCCTCTTATAAGTTGCTTTAATGGAAAATCAATTCAACCAATAAGTTTGAAATCAATGCTGGCATTTCTGCCTTGATTGATGTTGAGGAAACAAATCTCTCTTTACCCAACAAGATCTCATCAACATGCCATTAGAAAGATATAGGAGGGAGGGAAGGAAGGAAGGAAGGAAGGGAGATTCTATTGGACATGCTTTTTCCAGATTGGAAGTTGCTGAGGGTGAGATTGCTATTTCTCTCTCTTGGGGAACATGATCCCAAGGTTTTGTGATTGGGTTTTTGAGCCATGGATTCCTTACCAAAACTAATTGGAAAACTTAAACAAATAAAATATTTAGACCTACTCCAGTATTCCCACATAGGTGGTCTCTAGATTGGGGTGCCTAAACACTCTTTTTTCACACAATTTTCTCTCTAACAGCTCCCCTCGTCTTTCTTTAAGGAATTCCTTCATTGCTGCTTCTTCTTGGCATCAATATCAATAACACACAAATTAAGAACCTTGGATGATAGTGAAGACGTGGGTACTAAACCAAAAATGTAGCCCTTGTTTGGTTTGCTTTTGAGAGAGTAATTTTGGAGAATTTTTTTTAAAATTTTGTTTGGTTTAGTGATTTTGGAAAAAAATTTCAAAATCACTCTCTCTCTTACAAATCAATCAATCATTTTTTTCTCTCTCCTCTCTCATTCTTAATCACTTTTTCTCTCACACACATCTATTCAACTATAACAAAATATCAAATCATCCCAAACTCCCATATTCCAAAACTATTTCTAAAATATACAACTAAACAAACTAAAAAAATTTCTAAACTCTCTCCTCAAAATTTTTTTAAAAAATTTATCTCCTAAAACTAAACCAAACACACCCGTAATGTTTTACTCTTGACAACAGAACAATCAAGGGTTGTTTGGGAATAGGTTATTTTAGTATTTTTTTAATTTTTTATGAAAATATGTGTAAAAAAATAGAGAAGTGATAGTAACTCAAAAAGAAAAAAGGACAAAAAGTATACTATTTTAGTAGCATCCCAAACAACCAAATGTGCCAATCGAACATCTTTCTTTGGCAACTTAAAAATGTTAGAATCTTTTTGTAATTGTGCACTTGCTAGGCTCAATTTGGTTAGACAGATAATAAGTGAAAGAAAAAAGAAAAAAAATATTTTTGTCACTACAACATATAAGACTTTTGGCAACCAATTATTTTGGTCGCTAAAACTATTATTTTGGTCTCTAAATGATTTTTGTGACAAAATTAGTTTCGTCACTAAAAAAGTCACTAAAAGTACGTCTAGAAAAGTCTTTAGCGACGAATTTTTGAAAATGTCACTGAAAATGACAATTAGTGACCAATTTTATATTGTCACTAAATGTTTGATTTTACAAGACTAAACATTTGGTCGCTAATACTTCGTCATAAAATGTCCCAATTTGGTCGCGAAAAACAAAAAAATGACATTTTTAACAACAATGATATTTGCTCGCTAAAAGACATAACTTTCTCTACAAACACATTTTTGTCAATAAAAATCGAAGTTGAGAATTTTGTAATCATTTAATCTCATAGCTAAAAATGCACAAAATTAAATGTCATCCAATCATATTAAAAAAAATTGACATCCACACATCAAAGGCACTCTATTCCCAAACCATAATGAGTATAAAATTTTACAAAAATTAAAATTGAAAGTTTTCAAATTCAAATTAATGTAGTAACAGTTCAAATAAAGAATAGCAACAGTTTCTTCAAAAAGAATCTCTAAAAAACATTTTCTCAACATCAATATTAGGCTTTATATCAGACAATCTTGGCACAAGAGGCTTCAAGCTGTACTTAGGTGTGACACCCTTGGGACATCCCTGCAACCAAAATTCAAAACGAAGAATCAAATAATAAGAACCAACTAAAAATAACCTCATTAAATAATCAATAGTCATTCATAATCAAATAAGTTACAAATAATGGAAAAGCACGTTATCTCAGAACAAGCTATCTCTAATTTATGGGATCAATTGTTTCGTGACATAATAAATTAACAATCATACATGGACCTCCACGAAGGGGGATTTGTATATATGTCTGTCTCTCTCTCTCTCGTTTACAAGGGGAGAGAAAATAAATATTGGAGGGTGGCGAGGGTGATTCTTTGAAACCTATAGAATGAGGGGATTCAAATGATCCAAATCTTGCAGGGTCATTATGAGCCCTACTGCTTCTACTGTAGTATTGATTCTGATGCTGAGCAACAACAAGAGTCTCCATAGGAAATTTATCAGCAGCGAGTTCAACTACGATTACTCGATCCAGTTAAGCCAATTCTAAAACATTAACATTCAAGATCTGTACTAAACTCTAAAAATATCTCTGGATCTTCTCCATAACCACCAAAAACTGAGCAGATTTGCGTTGATTTCAGTAAATCCAAACAATGCGTCAAGCATATATGTAGATCGACAAGAACCAGCAAAACAAGTCGTCCTTGATCTCTTCAAAGCAGCAGTCGTCAATTCAATGATCAGATCTATACAAAAACAAAATAGATCAGCACATAACCAGTCTTGATATATCAAACTAATAGATGGATCAGAAAACTAACTTGTAACATACCAAACAGGTAGTCACCCCATGTGATCCCTGGTTCAAGCTCCCAATCATGGCCAGGGGGTCTATCATGCAGGGCTTCAATGAAAGTCACAAAGAAGTTGTGCAAGCCCTCCCTTAGTTGTTGGATGTAGCTATAGAAAAGAAATGGAAGGTTTAAATATGGTCTACATCTACAGATATATGATATAAGGTACTACATGAGAATAAAAGCTCACGTATGCTGATCCGTGCTCCCTTTATTTCCATAAACAGTAAGTCCCTGATTCACCTATTGAGGTCAAGAAAAAAGAAAAAGAGAAAAAAAGGAAAAAAAAGGCTAGCATAAGTTATCAAAATAAACATCGACACATAGTAAAAGCAGGGCCTTGGGCAACCAACACGTCCTTGCCTAGGCTAGACATGGTATTTTAAATATCATGCTCGATTAACTGTTGAAGCTTTAATAGCTAGTTGATAACTTCAAATTCCAAAGAAAAACAAAGTAAATTTTTCTAGCATGATTACCAAAGGGGCTATTGAGCATTGACATAAATTAAAGGCGTATATAACAGGAGATGTATCTTGTCTATTGTGGATAGGGATAGTCATATCTTAAATCATTATATGTAGGTAATAGAACTCGGTTAATGGATAAAGGTGCACCATCCATTTGCATCAAAATGTCCACACATTGGAAATGCAGGATCAAATGCCATTTTAACAATTAGGAAATCAAAATCCAATGTTTCCAACTCCTTATTGATGGATGGGGAATAGAATATGAAAATAAGAAACAAGATTTCTAATAGATACTAAATCATCCAATTTTTCTTTCTAGTGAGGGTGAAATTGAAGAAAATTGCTATTTAGATGAAAATTTTGGACAGAGCTAAGAAAAAGACATGAAGTACAAAGTTGCTAGAAAATTTGTTATTACAATTTACATGCCATCTGCCTAACTAGATGCAACAATGCTAACATGTTATAAGAGTCCTTCTTAAAAACCAAAATATTTAAAAATTGCCTCCAAAGAAAGATAAAAGGAATATTTCCTCAAAGAAAATTCTACTCCATTCAGTTGTTTCCTCCTAAACCACTGCCAAGTTGACACTCTATAGTGTGACAAAAATATATGGCCATCTAAAATGCGTAGCCTTAGTCTCACATCACACCTTTTTTTTAGTTGCTAGAGGTGTCACAAAATCAAAATGCTTCAATGGTAAACAATATTAATGCCAATTAAATAGATAATGATATTTTAGGACATCAAATTTGTTCCGTGTTCAAACAAGAAGAGTTGGTAGAGATGGTTCGACATACCCGATTACTATCTAGGTCAAACTCCTTCCTAAGTGATTCCATGACCAACTGTTTTAAATACCTACTAAATAATAATAGGCTATCCTTGTAAGGAAGAACAACCATATCCTGTGGAAAAACAAAGAAACCAAAGCATAAATATTTTATAGTTAAACAGAATCACACTAAGACAACACCAAGATAATAGCTGGGGACTAAAGGTCTATAAGTTATCAAGAGGGGGATGAGATACTCCTTAGAAATTAAAGCAGAATAACTAACATTTTTATTGCACAAAGCTAAACCAAAACAGAGCCTTGCCAAGAGGTACTACTTGGAAACAACTGAATTTCAGGACATCTGGAGGAAAACTGATAAAGCAGAAAAACAAGACTAGAAGTTCAGTGAAAGATTTGTGTGGGTTGTGCAATTTTGATAATGGTCTAATCAAACAGCTTTCTCATAATGAATGAGTAAGTCCAAACTGATTTGATTAATCATTTTTTAAAACAGAAGCAACCAATTTTTAACTTTAATTTCCCCCTCATGATTAGTTTACACCAATGAACATCTCCACCTACTCCCATTTCATTGACTATGATTGGCCATGATAGAAGTGTCACATGTACCAGGAATAATTTGCCAATGCCTGAACTCTCCTCTAAAACCTCTTGATATGCTGCCACTCCTATAACATCAAAAGGATTTGACCCCCATCAAATGCATAGAAATATTACATAAACTAGTGGGGTGGCACTCACTACCTGAGTGCAAGTGCCACAAAGAACCACTAAATTAGCCACTTTTTGAACAGTAGTGCATAGAGAGAGAGAGAGAGAGAGAGAGAGAGAGAGAGAGGTGTACTAAGTAGCCTCTAAATTATAAAGGAGAGATAGAGAGAGAGAGGTGTACTAAGTGGCCTCTTAATTAGGAAGGGGAATTTTTAAAACTATCTGGGAGTTCTAGGCAGTTGTGGGGAGTTCTTTAAAATAATGTGTTTACTTAAACATTTACCTTAACTAAATATAGAAGTAAAAGGATTTTAATAATGCATAATTTAATTTTCTTTGGATAGTTTAGGGAAATGAAAAATGTATCAAAATTAGTGTTCTACTTTTATATATTAGCAAAGATGACATGCTTGATAACTGAACCAGTGCTTACCCCATTCCTCCAAGTGGGACACCTTGGGATGCTGATGGCTTGCAACTCTCTTGATTGAAAGGATTAATTGGTTCTGTCTGCACATATTAAGTGAGTAGCAATTAAATCTAAAGAAAAGGTCCAACAAAAAACTGCGTCAAAGTTCAATTATTTTTTTATTTTTTTATTGGCACTAGGGTGCCCGGAATCAAAGTCCAATTAATTTTCAACACAGGAAACTAGTTGTTAGGGTCATTATTGAATACTAAAAAGTAGCTATAGGGAAAAATTAAAATGAGTTGAAGAAGAATAAAGTTGAGAGAGTTACCCTTCCATGGGAAGCCTCTTCCCGTACATAGGACCACATACGTATACCAAGTCGAACCTAAGTTCAAAATTCAAGACATGAATCACAAAATGAGAACTGGTGAACGATAATGCATAACTTATGATACACAGGACCTATATGTCTTTTCTGTTTTGCCGTTTCAATAAAATCATCTTCCATTTTGTTGCTAAACAGTTTTGACAATATTTATGCTAGGACAGTTTTGCAGTAGAGACTAGTAGAGTAAGTAAATAAAACAAATGTCATATATATTATTCATTATATACATGTCTAATATTCTTCCAACTAAGAACCAATCAGTATTGCCTAATAATAGGGTGAATTAGACATACACCCCCTGGAATATGCACCGCATCCCCAATTCTTCGTCTCCAACACGCATTAGATAGACATAGATATACACACTCACACAAGTTCAATCTATGTAAAGAATTCTTCAATTCCAACACACATTAAGATAAGAAACAAGTTCAATCTCTGTAAAACACAGATTGAAACACGCATTAGTTTGCTTTGTGGATGCAAAACACAGATTGAAACACAAACAAGTTCAATCTATGTAATACATTAGTTTGCTTTGTGGATGCGAAACACGGATTGAAACACATATGTAAAGAATTGGAGCTCTTACAGGTCGATTACGGAGATCAATTACGATAAGAAATTGAAAGTTCGAATTGGAGCTCTTACAGGTCGATTACGGAGATCGACTATGCAGAGAGAGAGAGAGAGAGAGACACACACACACACACAAACACACACACACACCAAAATTTGAAGAAGATTGAGCTCCCAATCTACCTGGGAGCTCCCAACTTTAGGGCTAAAGATTGAGCAAACCTGTCAAAAGAGAGAATGAGCAATTTAGGGCTGAAGTGAAGTGAGGTCCTGACTTTTCAATTGTTAAAATGATGAAAATAATTGGTCTCAAATTGTTTTTAATTGATAATGACGAAAATATTTAGTCCCTAAATGTTAATAATATATTAGCAACCAAATTTATTGGTCTAAAAAAATTATATAAATATTAAGTGAGAATATTAATAATCATTTTTACAATCGTATAAGTAAATTATCATATGTTTAAATTTGTCCCTAAAAGATTATTTTTAGCGACCAAATTTAATTAGTCCCTAAATATTAGTCTCTAAAAGACTAATTTCTTGTAGTGTGTACGTGTTTGTTTAGATAGAGAGTCCTAAATGGTAATGGAAATTAAGGCTGTGTTTGGTTTAACTTTCTAAAACTAATTTCGCCCTTATATTCTAATGCTATGTTTGGTTTAAGTTTTCAAATCATGATTTCAAATCAATTTCAAAACACATTTTAAAAACATGTTTGGTAAACTAGACAGTTTTTGAATTTTTGGTCTATCTGGTCATCTGCCTAGACATCCTCCTCCGAATGTCCGGCCAGTCGTCCGGCCAGTTGACCGGAACAATATTTTTTTTTTTTCAATTGCCCCGCCACCTGTTATTTGAAAAAAAAATATTATATTTATTTTTGATATTTTTTAAATATACAAATTATTTTTTTAGACCAAAATGACAAATTATTCTTTTAAATTAAATTAAATTTTAAAAAGAGTTTGGTTATAAGTTTTAAATAAAATTTTTAATAGAGTTTTGAGTTGTGTGTTTGGTTATGAGTTATAAATTTTTCAATTAAGTTTTGAAAACTCTTTTTAAAACTCAAAACCAAACAACTTTTCTCATTTCCTATGCACATAAAAAATTTAAAACTCAATTTAAAACTCTTTTGAAAACTTATAACCAAACAAATTTTTTCTTTTTCAAATCATAATTCTAAAACTCACAAACTTAAATTACAACTCTATTTTCAACTCATAATTTCTTGCAAAATATACAGAGAATCTCTTAAATCTTTTCTTTTTGCCTATGTTTTTCTCCACAACTCTATATTATGTAGTGATTATATTTTTTTCCCAACATTTTCTTACAAATTTTTTCATCTATTCGAATACATGTAAGAAAATAAATTTTTATTTCTTTTTCCTTTCTTTGGCTTCACTTTTTACCTTTTTTATTTTATATCATACTTTCTTTTTACCATTTTCATTTTCTATTATACCTTTTCTTTCATCGTTACCTAGTTTTTTTTCTTTCTTGTGAATAATGATTTTCGAGAACTGAATTATAACATATTTGGACTATGTAAAACTATTCACCCCATTCCTTGCCACCTCATTCCTTGCTTTGGCAGGTACCAATTACCACCGGTAATGTCTACGCCATCAACGATGCACTGTCAGCAGAGGCTGCAGCTGACGACTATGAGACCTGTCTCAAACATTTGGTTAAGATAAAGACGGTGGATTTATCTGAGGCTAGTGGGTTTCCAAAATTTGATCTCATGCTACTGGGTATGGGCCCGGATGGACACGTGGCTTCTCTATTCCCCGGACATCCCCTTGTCCATGAGAGCAAGCAGTGGGTGACCTCCATCAAAGACTCGCCCAAACCACCTCCGGAGAGGATTACTTTCACCTTTCCAGTAATCAACTCGTCTGCAAATATCGCGCTTGTGGTAGCAGGGGCAGGTAAAGCACACGCGGTGAACGTGGCATTGGGTAGTGGTCAGAATTCTGATTCACTGCTGCCTGTTCAAATGGTTTCGCCGGAAGGTGAGTTGACATGGTTTTTGGACAGTGGAGCAGCTTCAAAGCTGTAGATTTACAGTTGATCCGTATCATAATATGGTATGTCTATTTTAGTATTTTGTGAAGTGATTAGTAAGCTTTTGGATGTATTAGAGGGTTTTGCAATGTTGGTGATATAGTTGATGAACAGCGAGGTTTTTCTTCATCTAATGCTGGTGGGTAGAGTATTTGAATAATGTGGGACCCAAATAATGTAATATATTTCCCTCTAAATTCTCCATAATGTGAATTTGAGTTGCATTTTCTTTCCTGTACTTTTTTTTTTTTTTTTTTTTTTTGGAGCTAAGAAAAGCCCTCAGGCTACCCAATCAATAGGTAAAGCTCTCTTGAGATGAGAAGAGGTGAGCCAGTGAGCAACTCGATTGGCCTCTCTAGGTGCCCAAGAAAGCAGGCAACTGGAAGAAGAGCTCAAAGATAGAATATCATGGACTATTGCAAGGCAATCCCATGGGGGGACCAATTCCGAAACACTCAGATCAATGATAGCTTTATAATCACTTGGACATTAGCAAGTCCAACAGCTTGAAGAAGCTGACATGCCAATCGGATAGCACGAGCTTCGCCTTGAATGACTGAGGATGATTGAACCGAGGAAACAACCCCACCAACCAGATTCCGCTTCCAATCCCTCAGACTGAGTGCAATAGATGATTTCCCTCCAACTTGGTCAAAGCTAGCATCACAATTAATTTTCAAATGACCTTGACTAGGAGGGACCCATTTGGACTGAGGTTGGCTTATTTTAGGTCAATTATGTCTTTTGCCTTGTTCAATTGGACTCCGCTCTAAATATTAGAAATCAACAACAAAAAAAAAAAAAAAATGACTTGATGCATTGAATCATGACTATACTGTTATTTTAATATTAAAATTTGATAGAGATGAAATTGGATCAATTGATTCTTTCCTTTTTCTTTTTTCATTTCTTTGAACTTCACAAGAATCTGGCAATATTTTTAATTAAATTTGCTTGTTCTCAACAATTGAAAGTAATTAAACCGGACAACTTGATGCCATTGAACGATATTACAGAAAATCTAATATAACACTAATATCATGTAATTATTAACACATAGTATTATCAACTAATAATAAAATTATTAGATACTGAATTTTACTATTAAAATGTAATTCTCTGTTGTAATATAATGTGTACTTGTCACATTTACATATAGTGAGATTTGTTATTATGCTGATATAATAATTGGTGTATCTATAATCATGTCATATCATCATTATAATTTTTTTTTTCCTAATCAGCAAGTCAATATATATATATATAATTTTGGTAAAAATAAAATGAGTGATGGATTCTCATCATTCATTGTATTCATGCCAACAATTACAAAATTATAATGTATGATTCATGGATTTCTACTTTAAAATCTACATTGAAAATGTGTCGTAGTGTAATTTTATTTTCACTTTCTTGCCCCTTAGCAGCCCAATGCTATTATAACTTTAATATTGGGATCCATCATTATTTTCTAGTCTTTTTATGTGAGCTGTTTTTTTTTTTTTTTTTAATGACTTCTTTTGTCCCTACATAACTTGCTTTCGTGTCATTATTATAACAAATAAATAATTTGTAAGAAAAAGAAAAAAAAAGATTTTACAAACCTCTTTGTAAATTTAAGATTTAAATACAATTTAAAAATAATATATATATTATCCAACTATATTTGAGTTGTGACCACCAATAGAAAAGATTTTAACCACAGGAATACCATAAAGGAGTATATGATTGAGCACATAGATTGGAGAAGTTGAACACTTTTATCAGAAAAATGATTTATAAATAAAAATTTTGTTGAGGACAATGTGGTTGTGTGACATTTATAAAATTTAATGTCACAATATGTGGTGGTGAATAGTTTAATTTAAAATAAAATATCACATAAATGTACATGAAAATATTATTTGTATGGAAAATGTCTCGTACCTCAAATTTTGTGGTTCAAAAGTGGTTCAAATGGCCAAAACGACGTCGTTTTGGCCATTTTTATGTTGTTTTGTACTCAAAACGACGTCGTTTTGGCCATTTGAGCCACTTTTGAGCAACAAAATTTGAGCTACGTAGCATTGTCGTATTTGTATAGCATTACCCCTCTTATGTGGCCACCACTTGCACTACAAATTACTTATTGGTTATTTATTTGAAAAGTGATTCCAATTTAGTAACACTACTAATTCAAAATTTTTATTAAACATTATCAATCTATGGTTGAGAGTTTTTTGTTTTTATTTTTTATTTTTTATTATTTTTTTAACATAACTCCATATAATGCCGTTTCAATTTGTACCACAAAATCAATTTTCAGACAAAAATCTGGTACATTTTTTCTGGGCAAGTAGAATTTCTGATTCGAATTTCCGAACTTTGCATTCAATATTTGATGCTTGCCCCAAGAAGATAGTTGTATAGAAACAAGATCTGACAATGTCTCTCATGTTTATAATATTGAATTCACTCACTTTCATGCATTCATGCAGCCAGTGATGGAGTTCGAAAATTAGGTCAGAGGGGAGTTCTTATTAATTATAATTTTTTATTAAAAAAAAAATTTATGAGTAACATTAAGATAATGATCATTTTATGAGATAAATTTAAACATAAAAAATTATACATTCATTATTAATAAGAAAAAATTAAAATTTTATAATAGTGTGGAATAGCTCGGTGTGAGATGATGATGTAAGTTTGTAATTTTATCACAAAAAAATTATAGATCAAAATTCCTAATTTTAAAAAATAAAAACACATCATTTATAGCACAAATTATTATAGAATCTATTTAATTTTTATTTGACAGAAAAATATTAAGGAGATGACATTGCTTATAAATGATGTGTTTTGAATGAAAATTATTAAACAGTCTTAGAGTACCATGTGACGTTATCTACGTGATGCTCAAAGCATAGAAAATCACAAATCACGCTAAGTAGTATGTCAACTACTTGAAAATAATGAGTTCATTATATTCAATCTATAATATTTTTCACTATACTATTGATTTAAACTACTACATAAATAATACCACATAGTCTTCACAAAGTATCAAATAAGTACTTGTTGTGAACAATATAATAAACCATTAGCCAAAAAATATGTTAAAAAAAAAAAAAGAACACATTTTATGCAAAAAAAAAAAAAAATTACAAAATTGAGAGGGGCACGTGACCCCCCTCGACCAATGCTACCGTCGCCCCTGCATCCATGCAGTGGTGGCGTTGTGGTGTGCTGATTTTAAAATTGTTTATGCTTTTCTATATAACATATAAATAGAAAAAGAATGAGTCACAAAAAATATATTGATAGATTTGTGATTTTATTTTAAATTTAGTAATAATAATAATAATAATAATTAAAAAAAAAGTGAGAGTTCAACAAAATTATGGCCATGATTTAGTTGTTAATGCATTGATAAAAAAAATAAAAAAATTAGATGTTAATTTATTGCAGCCTTTTTTTGGTAGGTAATCCAATTTGTTGCCGTTCTTTTAGATCTAACACTTTATGGTATGTTTGGATGGCAAGAAAGAAGAAGAGTATTATGAATCTTATTTCTTATCTTCCTCTTCATTTTGTCATTTAGGTGCATCAAGACATGAAAATTTATTCCGAGTTAATTATTCACTCACTCATCCCAAACACCTATACTCACATTTCTGAACCAATAGTCACAAAAGAGGATGGCAATTCAATATTAAAATGGATTCATGAAATAGAATCTCATTTTATTATTGATATTGTGAATTCCAGCGAATTTCTGCCATCCAAACAAACATTAGGAGTGTAAATTTATATATGTATTGTCACTGTCTATTCCAACTACCTTTAGAAAGATGAAGCTCACCTTTGACCTCATTTTACTCTCTTGATGAATGATTGTAGTTGGTCATGAAAAGCATTAGTCTAGGGCATGCTATGTACCCTGCCATAAAAAAAGAAAAAGTTAAAAGATGAAAAAACACAAAGAGCATGCTTATATAATATGAAAAAAAGGGTTAGGAACTTTAGTATATAATTGTTATGATTCATGTGTTGGTGTGTCCTTCAATCCAAAAATGAGGATGAGCTTGACATCTAGTTGCCCCATTGTGGACAGCTCAGCCTGAGCTTATGTTAGTAATCTGAATTGTTTATTTTATAAATTTTTTTAGATGATTATTCATAAAAAAAATTAAATTAATCAGATTTCGATTATCATATAATTGGATCATGTTTATCTTAAAAACTTATGATTTGTCACAAATCAATTTTTAAACAAAGTTTTTTAACATGAGATTAAACCAAATTTTAGCTTATTACTTTGTCCGTCTCGCTTGGTTAATTAGAACCTTTGCCCCTCACTCCCCTTCCAAATGCTAGGGCTTCCATGCGCTTAAAAAATGAAAGGAATTGAGATTTGCCTAATCAAGAGCCTTTCATTTTTTTTATTATCATATAAATAATGTCATATATAAATAAATTTTTCATAGAATTTTCTCAGCATTAGATACAAAGCAATGGATGTGGATTGCATCAGTTTTGTCTAATGATTAATAATGCTAAGAATAGAGGATACCAAAACAAAATGAATCACAAAACGCATATTACTAGATTGAGATTTATTTTAAATGTGAATCCTCCTTAATTGGGTTTAATCGCAACCGTTCATTATATTTTTTATGAACCATTCTATTATTTATTTTATATTCTTAACATCACCCATCTAATAATATAAAATCTGATAAAGAAAGTCATTTATGTATAATATTTTTCCTTTTTCTGTTGTTGAAGGAAACCATAATTACTTTCTGCATGCATACTATATACTTCCCCAACTCGTTTGTCAACTATGCCTCCGTTTGGCAAGTTGGGTTAGGTTAGGTTTGAGATTATTTTAATTATAAAAAAATAAAATAGATTTTTTAAGTTTAATAAGACAAAATATCATATCTAACATATAATTATTATATTCTTTCTTTCACAAAAAGTTTAAAAAGTTAAAAAGTCTTTCCTAAACGAGACTTTTTAGCCTTATGTTAAAATAGTTAAAAAGACAACCCACTTCCCAAACTAACCCTAAATATTTTGGTCAAAAAATCAAAAAAATCACTATAAATTATCACATCACTCCCTTTATGAATTTTTATTTTTGAATATTTTTACCCTCCTTTTCCTTTTTTATCCAAATAACAACGCACCTGATTTTGTTGACTGGTCTTTTGGAAGTGGGAAATTTTTGGGACTGGGTTGTGGTTCTTAAAA